CCACCACATGTTGACTACACTGTGACAGTCCTGACCAAGCTGGGCAATAACTTAACGAGTGTGTCAGTCATTTGAGCCATCCATCATTTTAAATTTTATTTTATTCTAAATAAAGGAGGCAAAAGACTAATACTTTGTGCCAACAGACTCAACCAATGTTTATCAAGATAAATTTATGGTTTTTAAGGCTGGGAAGGACAAGTATGATCATCTTCTCTGACTCTTCTGCATAACACAGGCCATGGAATTTCACTTAATTCCTGCATCAGGCTCAAAACTTCTAGTTAAGCTAGAGCATAGAAACTTCTGTATCAAATTTGCAACATTTGAGACTTCCTGGACTTACAAAAAATAAACAATGAATTCTGTTTTGTTCCCAACATAGGAAAGTGGTTTTCCTTTATTATTTAAAATTGATATCAGCATTGGAAATAAGAACCACGATCAAGAAACATCATTTTAACTCAGAGAACAAATTCATATCAAATTGCAGGATGTTGCAATACATATAAAGGGTGTTTGAGCAGTCTACGGCTCAAATACATGCAAATCAAGTATTTCTTAAATATCAAAGAAATATGATCCATACAAACTACAGCCACAATTCCCAAGCCTAATATTACTATTTTAAGATATATATTACTCTATTTGGCTTGAAACTTTCATTATAGTTACTGAGACGTGTGGGTCATTCCTCATGCAGCCATATTTATATTTATTCTTATTATAAAAAGTTAATGCTTGAGTGTGCAGCAAGCCCAAGAGTGTAGTATCCAGAATAAATCTTGTAAGTGTCTAGAAAATGGACAGAGTCTATTTACCACAGTATTTTTCATTTGTATGGGTGATACAGTGGGTCATTATGACAAGGTGAAAGGTCTTTAAGCCTTCATTTTTAAGCCACAGGTGTTCTTTGTAGAGATTTTTTTTAATAAAGAATATTATTGGTCCTTTAAATTAGCTCTTATTGCAAGTTACCACATCTGTGCTATGTGGTAATGAAGCAGGGAGAGAGGTCATAGCGGGGGACTTGTACTTGAAGAAAACATCTGGACATTGCTTTGAGATTCACTAGCAGCTTATATTTTATTAAGCAATAAGGAAATTTATACTAAATTCAACTGTAAGATTTAGACAGGTTAACAGGTTAATAAAAGTAAAATGAAAAAGCAAGAAGTGGAAAAATTTAGCACGGTCTTCCCAATTAATTCCAATTCAAGAGATTAAATTATCCATAAAATGGCAGCATTCATTTTATAAGATTCCTTGGGCAATTAATATGTTGATATATTATTGTGATATTTTCTCTTTTACAGTAGAGCTCACATTAATTACTAATATACTATGTAGTGAGCTATATGCCTCTTTCTGGGCAATAGTTATTTCTGTTACTACATCATTCAGTTCTGGAAAAGATGCCTTTAGAGGATGAACTTGTATCCTTTTACAGGCCACAGTCTCTGTCTCTCTCTCAACTTCCCATTGGCTGATAAAAGGCAAAAGATATACAAGTCTGTATGCAACAATTGCACCTGTGAGGATAACAAAGATCAGTTTTAAGGCTGGGTTTTGTCTATCTATCTAGAGAGATATACATAGAGAGAGAAGAATTTGGGAAAAAGTCTACTCATCAATGCAAGAGACATTTAACCTTCAATGGACACCTCAGCGGGAAGTAGCACTAAACTTAAAGGGCTGAAACTCTATGTGACAGTTGGTTCTCAACTAGTAATGCTCTGGCTAAATATTTAAGAACTATCCTATTAAGTAATCAAAGCTAACACATTAGCTGGGTCAGTTGACTGACTATTCAGCTACTTGAGACAGCTGCTTCATGGAGCAGAAGGGCTAGAAATGTTTATAATACACATTTAGCAAGTCCTACATTGAGAGTACCACTGGATAGTGCGCTCATGAGACATCTTCTCATTTGAAGATATTTACATTTGCAGCTGCCAATACCACATTTTTATTGTATATACCACACTCATCCACATAGTATCTGAGCACCTTCCGGTAAAGCATTAAGCAATGTGATCACCATCTCTCACATATATGTTCTGTCATGCTCTCCTCATGGTAAGAGGCAAGTGCATTTCAGTCCATTGCTTAAATGTCAACCTATTTCATTCTTACAAATCTTACTTTTTATTACACAGAGCTTCTTTCCACTGACACTTCCATTATAACATACACCCTATATGCAATTTATTAATTTCCAATCAGAGATTCCAATCCAAGTGATACAGGGCTATACATTTCAGTTTACTCACAGCAGTTTTAATAAAATAATCCCACAAACAAGTTATAAAAACTATTATAGATCAACCACAATGGAAACTGCTCCAGCAACAATGGCTGCAAGTGAAGTTCATTATAATGTATATTGATGCCTGCTAGAAAAATATCATTGCGAACGGTACATGAAAAATATTAAGACAGGACACAGGACTTTTTTTCCCCTTCCCATTGGGTGTTTTATTTTATAGCATTTGCATCAGTAATCAACACTTCAACAACAGAAGCTGGCATGATAGTGAGGAAAATTGAGTAATTCTCTCTCAAACAAATGTGACAAAATGGTTTCACATCAGGATAATATTGCACAAATGAATCAATATATGGAGAGAGAGGAAAAAGAGCAGGAGTGAGCATCTTCAACATGGATTGTGAAGAAAAAAGGCACTATTTAGCTGTGTGTGTGTAGTTAAAAAGTAAAAGTCATGAGGCACAATCCATGTTTCTCAAAGTTACATTCAGTACTGCTTTAGAGATGCTCACAAACCTAACTCTCTTAATACAGAAGCTACAGAAAATTTATGATCTAGTATTAGACAGTACAAGTGTCTAAACACATTTATAATTACCGTATGTGCTATCAAAGTCTTCACAAAGAGGGCTCAATTTATAAATAGCGCTGCAAGAGTTACATAGCTGCATGGGCTTAAAGTACAGAATATATCCCGACAACTAATCACCCATTACAATTTCTGCAAGTCTGATCTCCAGTAGTCATAAAATAAGCTCCACTTTTAAAGAGCTAAACTGGCAGTGCACTTTGAAACAGGTTTTTCATCTGGCTGCCTAAGCAGCATAGTTTAGACAGCATCACAAACATTTCTTTTTATACATACCTTTTCAATACCAGTGAAATTGATGCAAAAACATAATAGCAATTGGACCTCCCTTGACATAAACAGCACTAATGTAAAGTTATAGTAGGCAAATGTGTACTATTGGAACGCAGAAGCAGCTAAACATCTTAAGAAATGTGAAATATCTAGAAAAAGCATTCCAAACTCCCAGACAGACTGCTTCCCCTTTGCTACATTCTAAAAGTATAAACTGTGATTCCTGTTTTAAATCATCTAAGAGGAATTCATGATGTGTATAATAAACAGAATATTTGAACATAAATCCACGCACTGTACATAGCATTGATTTTGAGGCTTCCATTTCCTAAAATATTTTAAATATTGTGCATGAACACAAAGAGTGAAATCCTGGCAACATTAAAGTCAATGGCAGAGCTCCCACTGACTTTAAAGGGCCAGAATTTCACCCCAAATTGCTCCCATAAAGCAAATCTCTTCCTGCTACCTCTGCATACAGCCCCCATTGACTTCAATGGGGGATGTATATGCAAAAGGCTGCATAATCAAGTCCATTGATCACACCATCTGCAAGTCACTAAATTTCACTGGACTCATTAGGGGAAAAGGACTGAGACAAATTCTCACTTATATACTGTAAATTACTTCTAATAACCAGTGATTTGGAGAATTACAGAATACAAGAATAGAGTAGGTTATTAAAAATGTGTAAAGTTGATTATCCCTTTAAGAAGCAGAAGTTTGACTGTTTGAGGTCAAAGGATTTTAAAATACTCCCTGAATGAATTATTTCATATGATATAAAAGTAGCCACAATTTTGATTCCTCCTCCACCCCAACACGTAATTAATTAATATTTTTAAATTAGTAAGTTTCTAAAGAGATGCATATTTCTGTATCATGACTCTCAATTTTATCAATTCACAGCAAGTAGAGGACAGGAGTTGTATTATGTGAGGAAATAAAAGATTTTTTCCATGATGTGAACTATGAAAAATAAATGTCTCCTTTAAAATGGAGACATTTAATATATTTTTAAGATGACTATTGGCGGAAGAGGAGCAGAAGTTCAAAAACTACATTTATATGATTATATCCTGGTAAAATTTCCACTGATTTCAGTAGGGCCAGGATTTCACCCATAGTTTTCTTCTCAAACTAAAGCATTTGTTTGCATGTTTAAATGCCTTATTTCGTTAGCTAGTTGGGTACTGTGTTTTCACTTTGCATCTGTTCAGAGATATTCTGAAAATTTTACAAAAGGATTGAGAAAATAAGGTGCTTTAAGCAAATAAATCCAAATTATATGGGGGACAAAATGTGATCTGCCCTAAAAATGTTCATTTTTTAAAATGATAAATATCCACTGTATTTCCAAAATTTACCAGTCTAACAGAAAATTTCAGAACTGCAATAGCCACTCTATGATGACTCTCCAGTACTTCTTGTCCAGCTAGACAACCAGCTAGTAGAAGAAACATAAATCAAGTAGCAAATCCTGTTCCCCAGTGATGTGTTGGCATCATTAATGAAGCTGATACACAGGAAAGGAATCAAGCAAAATCCTGTCTGGTACATGCTACATAAATCAGTAATCAGAAAGAAAGATCCACCAGTACCTAATTGAGGCGAACAGCTATTTGAGAAATGTTTTTTTTTTTTAAATCTCAAAAGAGGAAGGTCCAAAGAATAGTAAAGCAAATTTAAAATTAGTACTGGATAGTGGATCAATTAATCTTTTCATAATTGGATCATTGTGTTTTTGGCAGCAAACATCCAATGTACACATGATTTTCAACTCCCAATCATTTTCATATTACAAAAAACAAATGCATTAAAGAAACTCCATCTTAATAACTTTACACTATTGCTTTAAGCACCATCCGTAGGGATTCAGATACGTCACATTATCTCCTTCCCCCCACCCCAATCAAACCCAGGGAAACTAATTTTTATAAACTGAAGGTGAAAAAAGGGGTAATTACTGTGATTTTTAAAAAAGTTACATGTAGGTATTCACTGCAGTTTGTTAAAACACAGTGTCCCCAGTATCCAAACATCTGTTCACTAATCTCAACTACACTTAATCTACCAGGTGTTTCAAGCTGCTAATAATGGCAAATCATACAAGTTTACAATAGTGATGTAAGGCGGTTACATAAACACATTTATGTCAAGTTCACCGTGTCTCAACCACACATTTGATTTTCTTTTTCCTCTTTCAAATGTTATAAAAAGATACAGACTAATTTTAGGTAAAGAGAACTTCTGGACAATGTGCTGTGTTAGTAAAGTTGTAGAGGTCATTGAAGTGCATTTCAGTGATGTCCAACAGTTAACTAAAATAGGAAGCAGAACAGCAGATGAGATGGTTTTTACTTCACATGTAACAAAACTGGTGCAAAAACCACTTTCAGCTAATTACTTGTAACCTTTTGGTCCAAATACATAAAATATGCAGTATTTACAGCATTTTACTCCTTTTGTAAATGCAATGCTTTAAAACACATTATAAAGCACCTTAGTAAAAATATTCTACAGGTAAAAGTATAGAAGAAGTAGGAAAACCCAAACCATACCACAGCTCACTAATGGAGTCATAATATGGATTCACCAATATCTCAGTTTACAGTCATTATGAAGAATCCATGGAGCAACTTGATACTGAATTTACTAGGGTTTTTTTATATTGATGTATAAGCATTAACTAGAACTGCAGGCAATGCCAACTTTCTTTGCAGAATTTTCCCAACTTCAGTTGGCAGTTGGGGTGAGGAAGGAAAAGGAAATACTGCCTCGATTCTCTTTTTACAATATTAATATGGAAATTATTTTTTAAAAACACTAATGATTAGTTATAACTTTTCTTTTTAATAAAACCACATTTATATATGGGCAAATCCAGCAGCAGCATTTCTTAGCAGAACATGATTGACCATTCCAATGAATATCATGTAACGTGACTCACAAAAACAAAGCACAGATGTCAACCAGTTATTAACACTATTCATAATTGTATACAACCAAAATCTCCATGTAGAAGCTGGGAAAACAGTTGATTTCTTGTTTACAGAAGTTTAAATGAAAATAAATTGCTCTGAGAATCAACAACAGCATAAACAGAAGCATTTTTTGTTTATATTTTCAACCAAAACCTCTGTGCAGTTAATATCTGTAAAGGAAAATGTAGGTTTCTTCAGGGAAAGGGTAGTAACTCCCACTGAAACTATTAGTTAGATAAAAGAACTGAAGCTTAAGTCAAGTATCCAACACCTTTGGTGTGATCCACAGCCCACTTTCCTCAGCTCTAGAGAGAAATACCTCAGAGGTCTACCAGCACACTATTTTCCAGGGCTGAGAACTAAGATGACAAAGTGACCAAAGGTTTAGTCCATTAATCTAACAGTATACCTTGTTCTTAGTTCGACTTAGGGTAAATCTTTTCATAGAAAAAGTTTTGCGTCAGAATATACAATTCTCCATCTTTTTCCCGAACTGCATGTGCTCTGACAAACTGAAATTGCTCCAGTGCAAATTCATAGAACTCATTCTCCATTTTCCAAATTTCCGACTGCTGCAGCTTGGCAATGGTTTCTTTTGTTGGGAGCTTTTTCTCTGTTGTTTTCCTAAGATGAGACTTTTTTCCTAAATGGAAAATGAAAGCAGTTATAACTCCACTTGCACTTACAAGTTTAAATAATTCCAGAATTGTACCGTACAGGCTGCAGTTGTTTTATTTGCACAGTTTCTTCAATCAACATTTTGATAAATTGTATCAAAATTGATAGAACTCAATCCCAAAATTATTAATATAACCATGTGGGACCGGTAAATTGAAACCTCTGCCACTAAGCATTAATGCATTTTGCATTAGTGTTTTCTCAGAGAACCTGCTCCTCACTCCATGCAAAGGACTCAGTTAATAAAGCCCCAAACAGGAAATAATCACTTAATGAATTGTGTTACCCCACATAATGGACCTGTAAGATCTTTATTTCAAACTTGATTAATATCTACTTGGAAATTACTATGGATACTAAATACTAAGAAATTAAGAAAATTCAAAGCCAGAAGCATCTACTACCAGGAAAGCTGGTTCAGAGAACACACTTTGTTTAAGGTGCAGCTTTACTAATTTTAACACTGACTATCACTCTTCATAAGAGCGATAGTTGAAAAATTTAAAAAACTGCATATAAAATGTTAATTTTGCATATTTAGTGGCTTCTAAACAATAATCTTGTCCCTCTTCCTGTTCAGAGGCAGAAGTCCTGCCCAGAGTCCTACATCATCACATGCAGCAGGGCCAACAGCAGCTACCTAGAGAGGGTTCAGCTATTTCTAACGGCAGCAGTCTATGATAACCAAAGGAGAGGAGAAACATGCATCTGTATGTCCATAGCCCAAACAATCTGATGCAGGATGGGGACAAAAAGCCCTTGCAAAGGTAAAACATCAGGGCAAATAGGTAGGAGCATGCTAAAAACAAACCCAAACCCAGCAGCTAGAGGTCCAATTTGAAATAGACTTTGGGAGGCTGTAAGTCTCATGGGGTATGCCTACACTGCGCTTTACAACCTAGAGCAGCAAGTCTCAGCTGTGGAAATACTTGGGTCAGGATGGAGCTCAGGCTCTGAAGCCTGAGGAAAAAGGTGGGCTTCAAAGACTGAGCTCCAGTCGAAGCATCTATCCAGCTGTTTTTAGCACCCAAGCACAAGCCCGGGTCTGTAGATCTGGGCTCTGAGACTTGCTGCCACAGGTTTTAAAAACACAGTGTAGACATACCCATCATGACTTTATGGGCCTCCAAACGTACAGGTACCTTCAGACACAGGTAAAATGGGCATTCTCTATGCCTGCCAGAAGGGGATTTAGATTTAGTATAATCCAACGTCATGCTCTTTGGAGATGTGAATGTTTCTTCATCTTGGTTTGGAAAGTGCTCGCCACTTGGGTGCTACAACAGTAGAAGTAATAAAAAATGGTTACTAACCTTTCCGTAACTGTTGTTCTTCGAGATGTGTTGCTTATGTCCATTCCACATTAGGTGTGCGTGCACCGTTGCCAGAGATTTTTCTCTCAGTGGTATCCGTCGGGTCGGCTCTTGCACCCTTTGGTGCCGCACACTTCTGCACTAGTATAAGGGGCGTCATCGGCCCCGCACTCTCTCAGTTCCTTCTTGCCGCCTAACTCCGACAGACGGGAAGGAGGGTGGGTTGTGGAATGTACATGAGCAACATCTCAAAGAACAGTAGTTATGGAAAGGTTAATAACCGTTTTTCTTCTTTGAGTGCTTGTTCATGTCCATTCCACATTAGGTGACTCACAAGCAGTACCCAAGGAGGTAGGCTTGGAGTTCATGGGCATGCGGATTGTAACACTGCTCTCCCAAACCTGGAATCACCTCCAGCCTGCTGGGTGATGGCATAGTAGGAGGAGAAGGCATGCACTTGAATCAGGACCTGGGCCAGAAATGCCGCCAATGAGCCCTGAGCTCTTGTCGAATGAGTAGTCAAGATAGCAGGAGGTGGAATATCTGCCTACTCGTAGCACACTTGAATACAGGAGATTATCCAAGATGAAATTCTCTGGGCTGAAACTGACAGGCCTTTCATTCTCTCTGCTACTGCCACAAAGAGTTGTATAGATCTACAGAATGCGTCTGACAAAGTGGGTATTCATCCATGAAAGCTTATGCTCCAATACATCTGTCAGTCTATAAGGTGCCACAGGACTCTGTTGCTTTTTACAGATCCAGACTAACACGGCTACCCCTCTGATACTTGACAGAATGGTTTAGTCCACTCAATGTAAAAGGTTAGGGAACATCTGACATGCAATGAGTGAAGCTGCCATTCTTCTGAATTCCTGTGTGGTTTCAGGTAGAAAACTGGCAGGAAAATGGCCTGGTTACTATAGAACTGCAAAACCGTCTTCGGCAGGAATGCTAGGTGGGGGGCGCAGTTGAACTTTGTCCTTGATGAACACAGTGTATAGTGGTTCTGATGCAAGGGCCCTGACTTCTGAGATGCTTCTGGCTGAGGTATTCACTATCACGAAGGCAGCCTTCCAGGAGAGAAACAGCAGAGGGCATGATGCTAGCGGCTCAAAGGGAGGGCCTATGAGTCTTGACAGGACCAGGTTTAAATCCCACAGGGAAATCGGCTCACAAATCTGAGGGTAAAGTCTCTCTAACCCTTTAAGAAAGCAGATGGACATCTTGTGCAAGAAAACTGACCTACAGTTCACTGGCAGCTGGAAGGCTGAGATTGCCGCTAGGTGTACCATGATAGATGCAACAGCCAGACTTTGCTGTTTTAGGTGGAGCAGGTATTCCACTATAGATTTAAAGGAAGACCGAATGATTTGGAGATAGACCTTGTTAGGAAGACAATATTGAAAAACGCTTCCACTTGGCCACATAGGTAGCCCTAGTAGATGGCTTCCTACTACCTAGCAAGACCTAGCGGACTTGTTCTGAACAGGCTTGTTCCTCCAGGCGCAACCATGGAGTTTCCACAAGATCAGGTGAAGGGCTCCGAGGTTCGGGTGGAGTAAACAGCCCTGGATCTTGTGAGATTAGGTGCATTACTGACAAGTCTAGCAGAATGCTGAACCAGTGTTGGCATGGCGATACCAGGGCTATTAAAATAATGCTCGCCTTGTCCTGCTTGATTTTCAGAAGGACCTTGTATACAAGAGGAACTGAAGGACATTCATAAAATAGGAGATCGGTCCATAGAAGCAGGAAGGCATCTGAAAGGGACCTCGGGCTATGACCATGAAGCGAGCAAAACTAATGGTATTTCTTGTTCTGCCTGGTTGCAAACAAATCTATCTGGGGAGATCCCCATCTTTGGAAGATGAACCTAGTGGCCTGGTGAGAGGAGAAAGATCAGCTGAGGTGATCTGCCTGGGCGTTCTGAGCTCCCAGAAGATGGATAGCCTCAAAGCGAATGGAGTGCTTCATGCAGAAGTCCCATAGATGGACGGCCTCCTGACACAGGACAGAGGAACATGCTCCTCCCTGCTTGTTGATGTAGAACATGACTGTGTTGTCCGTAAGTACTCACACTACTTTGCCTGTGATTTGGGGAAGAAACACTTGGTAAGCTAAGCGGACCGCTCTGAGCTCTCTGACATTTATGTGTAGGGAGAGCTCTTTGTGGGTCCACCAACCCTGTGGTCTTAGGAGGTCGAAATGGGCTCCCAAGCTAGATCGGAAGCATCTGAAATTAAGGACACTGATGGCTGGGGGATGACAAAGGGAATGTCCGCCATAGCTGGTTGGGGGTCCTTCCACCAGTTGAGAGAGGCAAGGACCGGAGCTGGAACTGTAAGCACAAGAAGCTGAGAAGCAGTCAAGTTGCTGAGCCCTGAAATGCTTCCTTGAGGGAGGCAGAGCATAGAGGCCCAGGGACCTGAGGATAGCCCTGGAGTCGTTCAGGCCATGAAGCTTTGTGTCTGTTTGCTCTGAAAACAATGAGGTACCCTCGAATGGGAGGTCTTGGATTGACTGTTGGACCTTTTATGGTAGCCCTAAGGATTGCAGCCAAACATTAGCCTCAAGACCACTGTGGAAGCCATCGTTCTGGCTACTGCAACAGCTGCGTCCAGGGTTGCCTGGAGTGAGGCTCTATGTTCTTTTCCTCCTCTAAGAAGGCAGAGAACTCTTGCATGGAGCCCTGAGGCAGCGAGTCCTTAAATTTTGTCAAAGAATCCCACATATTATAATCGTACCTCTCCAGCAGGGCTTGCTGGTTCAAGATATGAAGTTGCAATCTGCCTGTTGAATAATTTTTTCTGCCAAACAGATCTAGTTTCTTTAAGCCTTTCTGTTTGGGGGTAGTGCTTGTCTGGCCCTCTCATTAGCTACTGTTACGACTAGGGACTCAGGAGGAGGATGAGAATATAAGTACTGGTACCAACTGGATGGCACATAGTATTTCTTCTCTGCCCTCTTCAAAGTGGGAGGAAGAGAAGATGGGGTCTGCCACAGGGCTCTGATCAGACCATAACAACCTTGTTGATGGGAGGGCCACCTCAGATGGTGATGCAGTGAGCTGCTCAGTCAAGGTGGTCTCGTTTGGGGAGGAAGAGGCCTGTACTGGAGGGGGAGCTTCCTCCTCTTCTTCTGCCCTGATTACACACATTGGACCCACATGTTGTGTGTTGGTACTGGACTTGGTACTAGAGTCGGGGTCCGATGCTGAATGGAGCCATGCAGGAGCCCACCTATTGGACGCCACTGAGTAGGACTGGTGGGATGTAGGATGGATAATGGCAACAGCTCTTGGGATGGGTGTAGGGCTCCACCTCAGACTGAAGAAACGTCCTCCTGAGGTGACCACAGGGGACCAGTACCCCTTATTTCCGCCAGTTGGTGCCGAGGGTCCAGGGACTGGTGCTGGACCAGGAAAGACCTCACAGATGAAACATGGCCTGGCTTGCCTTTGGAAGATACCCAGTACCAGGAAAGAGCTTGGAGCCCCTTGTTCTTTTCTGCTCATGCTCATCGGAGCCGGAGGTTGTGGCACTGGAGTCGGCGGTACTGGGAGAGAGAGATCCCTGGCTGCTGCAAAGGCCTCTGGGGTAGAAGGCACTGTGATGACTTCCTGACATCTGCGGGGGGTTGGGGGGAGCGA